ACCAGCCCTTTTTTACAGCTGTGGCTCCAGCAAACATCAGCTGATACTAGAAATTAAAATCAAATGAATTCTAACAACAGCTGATCAAGCTTAAACGTGCTGCTGTTGTTTAGCACAATAAACAAACGAGAGAAAAGCCGATTATTGATCAGTTTCATGATTGAAGTTTCAACAGGCGAGAGAATGACATGGGAGCATGTCATAAAGTTCAACATCAGTAACTTAGCGCGCACACAGCTGTATAGAAACTCCGTCGTGCTAGCTAGCACGCAGTACGAGTTGTTGTAAAAGTTGTAAAAGTCAACACAACGAAAATAACCTACACCTAAACTCGGTTTATATCTGACACAAATAGAGTGCAGTTCATAACTTCTTACCTGAAATTCAGTTCACCTCACGCTCCGACCGGCAGCCGCCTGCTTCTCCTGCCTTCGGTTTCCCTGATCCACAATTGAGAACTGTTGCTAATATGGGATCTCTTGATAAAACGAGCAGATATTTGAAGTTTACACACCTACATCCTCGCCTGAAAATATCTTAAAAGTTTATTTTGCAACCTAGAAACACTAATAAAATACATATTAAAACGAAATGGTGGCCGCCATTGTTTGAGTCGGTAGAGGCGTGCCATGACTTGTGGAATATGGAGTGTTCCACCAAGCATACACCCTTGCGGTTACCGTAACTATTCAACGGTTCGCGCAACCTTAAAAATTCCAATGGTTCCTTAAAGCAGCGACGCTGTGCGCGCCGTTGATATTCTCGTCATTACGGTAATCCAAATACGGGTAGACAGGCCATACCACTCCCGACATACCACTAGAGAGAGCCAACACACCACAAATGAAGTTTGAAATCTGTTTTTAGGGGTCCAAAAGTTAACTAAGTGTGCCTCTGCCAAGAGGCACACTTAATTAGGTGAGAAGACATGTAAATAACTGCAACTTGAATCTGTACTGAGGCTCAGTATTTGACACAGAGTTCATGTTCATGTATTAATTATTTCGCCATATTATATTTACATTACCAAAGTGATATGACTTTAGTCTCATGAAAAACATTAGCTAATTGTTATTTACTAGCTAATCTTAAATGACTGTTCAGTACAGAAATGAAGCCCAACAATCATGTTTTAC